TATATATATATATATATATATATATATATATATATAATTTTTTAAAAGCAGTGCTTAAAATTAATATTGCATGTGAACAACTGGAAAAAGTTGAAAACCTTGGTCAAAACCAACAATGCAGTACTTTCGTTTTTATCTTTCCTTGACTACCAAACAGGAAATTTCCTCAATTAGATGTCTGCCATGAAGAAAAAAAAAGGCCATTATCCAAGGACACAGCAAGTTCTGTCAGGTATTTCAACATAGTGGAAGAGTAGTCAGGCTTTAATTGGCCCTATTGAGCTCACCCACAAGCTACAACATTCTTTACCTCAGCAGTATGGTATTCAAAAGGGGGAAAAAAACTACAAAGTTAGTTTCTACCTTTGAAAACATCAAATGAATCATGTCCAGTTTCATCCTGCAAACTGAACGCTGGTTGATAAAAGTGCACATATCAACACTAGTAAGATTGATATTGAAAAGTAAAATAGATTCCAGAAAATGCCCCACCCCCAACATTGTTTATTGTGCTAGTTAAAAATAAAGAACTAGGCTGTTTTGCTAGTTTTTTCTACTATTCTTATCTACTGTGTTAGAAACCACTTTCTCTAGACAATTCAAGATCAGAAACTTACCATCTATAACCCTGTTCATAACTAGCAATAAGGACATTGTACAATCCAAACCCTTACTAGCTTCAGTTGGGCACACTGGCAGATAATGTTTTAAAAACTGCTAGGCAGAGGGTTCTGAAAGAATAGAAAGAGGTAGCAGAATATAAGAAAAAGCTTGGGAAGGTACAAAAACAAATGTTCCTCTTAAAAACAGAGAATGCCAAAACAGGAAGGACTGACGAGATGGTTGTGGTTTTACTCGGCCTCATTTAGACAGATGCACAACTATATGTTTTCTGTTTTAACTTGACTAAGAACGTTGACATTAAAAAAGAAAACAGCTAACTAAATTAAAACAGGATGGAGACATTTTTGGCAAGGTGAAATCTTCACTGCTTCGTGGAAGAAGTATCTGTTTGGATCTAGAGTAGCTGCCTTTGCTCTATTTGCCCCCATTGGAGTGCTAAATAATAAGCAGTGGGGAAAGTTCTGTGTACAGATGTGGTTTTCGTTTTCTTTACCAGACATTTCATTAATTAAATACCACTCTTCAATGGAGCAAGGAGACTCCTAAGGAATGGGAGGAATGTGGGAGGTTGGGAGAAAAGCCATGGAATCCTCATTAGTGGAACCCGGAAGAGACTTTAAAGCTTGAGCTTCTTATTGCCTTTCTGCTGGCTTTACTCCCTTTGTTCATCTTGAAAGCCAAGGAGGCAGGACAGAACAAATGGGACTCCTACTGTCCATTCTGCCTCCTTACCTTCCTACTCCTAAGGCCTTGCCACTTTCCATGGAATAATGGGTCCTCAGAGCTGACAGCTTATGTCCCTACTTCTAGACCATACTCTGGGTATGTGAACTCCCAGGGTTCCCTGTCTAAATGGCCATTGGAAGAAACAAACCCAAGCCAGTCGCCAAGACCTTCATAGGTTTGTTTTTTCCAATGGTTGATGAGCTAGTGGGGTGTGCATCCCTCTACCTGAAGCTTGGCTTAGATATGGACACCAGGCTTTCCATAAGTTTGCATGCAAAGGCCCTCTGCAGTGCAAAATGGAGTTTGAGTAGGAAGGACAGAGTGAGGGACTTCTACAGTGGGACCTGTAAGGCAGGAGCCATGGATGTTGAGTCAAAGGATGGTACTGGCTTCCAGATACAGAAACTATTATTGGTAGTAGACTACCACATCTATTGTACCTATCAGAAAGCTCTACACAGCTCTAAATGAACCAGAGGCCAAGTCAAGTGTTTTGAGTAACTAAAGAACAAACTTTAAATTCCCTTGAGTTATTTAAAAAGATGGACATCACCTTAAAAGAAAAAAATAATATTTTTCTGCTTAAATTATCTTGCTAATTAAAGCAATTTATCCTTGGTTAGAAGTTTTTTAAACTTTAAAAGGACTAGTATTTAATTTTAAAAGAACAATCCAATATCCAACATGTTTAAAGTCTCCAAAACTTTCCAAACAAACTTTTTTTATTAGTTGGGGACAAAAAAATAACCTCCAAAATTTTAAAGAAAGCACTCCTTCTGGCATTACTTTATCCAAAACTCTTTAAAATAAATCACACGAGAACAAAATGATTGGTAAAAATGTGCTAGATGCCCCATAAAAATGATAAATGCTTTGTTAGGGTTTTTTGTTGGTTTGGGAGGGATTGAATCCAGGGGTTCTATCACTGAACTACATCCTCAGCCCTTTATCTTTTTTGAGTCAGGGTCTCCCTAAATTGCCCAAGCTAGCCTGTAACTTGCGATCCTCCTGATTCAACCTCCTTATAGCTGGGATTACAGGTGTGTACAGGAATTTGCACCCAGCAAGTGCCTTGCTTTTTTTTTTTCTTTTTAAGATATATGGTATAAGGTTTGAACTCTAAGTCTACTGGAACTATGTCCAATGTGCAAACATCTGAGAACCACTGGTAATGTAAAACAAAGGAGAAACAGAGTAAAAAGGAAGAAAGAGAAGGACAGAGAGACAGAAAGAGACAATATTTCCCAAATGATTTTTTTTTCAGCAACTAAAAATAAGGGGAAAATACTGAGGAACACATAAATGACAGTATCATTCTTTTTTTCTTTTTTTTTAAATCAGAAATAGTAAGTTAGTTTTCAGACTAGTCCAAAGAATAAGAATCCCATGCCATACTCTCCAACAAATTGGGTTCAGGTTCAGAGAAGCTAAGTTAGCCCAAACCACTAAGTAATGTTGTACTAGCATAAAAGGTGAAAATCCTGAAGCCAGCAAAGCAGAAAGCTGTTTTTCAGACACAAATCCAGGTTTTCTCAAAGGCTGCAGTGTTGAGGTTTTGATGTAGAAAATTCTTCTTAAATGTTAACAATGTTTGGAGGGTAATCAACTCCAATGTGAGCTGTCCCTTTCTGTCCAGTTCATCTATCCATGTCTTCCCTTCAGTCATAAATGTACATGGACAGGGGCACTGTGGGATAACTTTTCTCTCCCAGGGCTCTGTGAGGAGGGTGCTTCATAATGTAAGCAAATATTCAAAGACCTTCTGAAGAGATGAAAGTCACTTATGACTTTACCTCAGAAATTGAGCAAACTTGTAAATAGCTGGAGAAGTTTTACCAGGTGAGTCTTATTGAGGATGTGTCCTGTTTTTATTTCATAAACTGAGCTTCAATAAAATGCTCAGTGGAATAGTACTTAATGGGCCTGGGAAACCTTATTGGTTCATAAAAAATCCAATGCTATTTAGCAGTAAACATCATTAGTCCTCAGTCAGAATCACTATTTATATATAAAAACACACTTACATGCAGCAGTGTTTTAAAAAATAAAGTTCATAATTGATACACCATTATTTAATTTTGCTAGCTATATCTACTTTTCTATATTCTGTATACCATCAGAATTTTCTAAAAACAAATTGCTTCTAACAAATAGCACATAAAGTTCTTGCCTTCGCTGTGACTGTTCAGTTTTAATTGGGACTCCCTCTCATGTCTTGGAGAAAATAGTTTAATCATAGTTTCATGCATGTAATTGAAATTTTACTTTTTAAAATACACATCCTGTCCAAAATCTCGTGTTTTCAGGGGAGGAAATGGACATATGAACCAATATATGAAGAAATAAACCTGTAAGGTATTTCAGCAATGCCTGAGGAAACTTAAGTATGAAACTATCTCTATACATATACCATTTCATTTAATTCTCACTGCAACTCCAAAAAGTAGGCATTTAAATTATTATGTCTGACTTCAAATGTAGCAACAGGTTATGAAAGTTGAATACACAAAACTAATAAGTAGTAACAAGAGGATTTATACACACAATTTTCTGGCTCCAAAGTCTTTGTGTTTCTTTCTACCATGTGGCCTTGTAGTTTCTTCTTTGAATTTTTTGCTTGTACTTTCAAGGGAACACAAGAGGCTATACACCTTACTTAGGGTGTTAACCCAGATTATCTTCATATATTAACCATTAACTTTCTCTGGCAACTGGCAGGCACCCCTGTCTTGAGACCTCCTCGTTTTTTTTTTTCACTGCTGCTAAAAGCTGATAATAGACTTGAGCTGTGCCTGCCTTCAATGCAAACAATATGTTTTTTCCTAAACTGTACAATTATATGCATTTTAAATTCCAGCCCTATTTGTTTCAAGAATGCCTCATGACTTCCAAGATTGAAAACTGAAGTTGACCTGACATTTATCCCCTCAACACAAATAATGAAATAAACAAAATGCAGAGTGCTGCTTCACCTGTCCCACCATTCCCATAGGGCATCTTAAAAATATTCCTAAGGGCCCTACAGCAGGCTTGAACAGATATGCTACCTTTGGTTGCAGACTTGGGGTCACTAAAAAACTAGAAGCAGAGCTAGGCACACTGATCAACAAAGCTTAGCACTGTTGGGAACTACTGAAAAGGGGCATTGCTTATGTTTTAATACACATAACTATCTCCTAAGGTCAACATAAAACACTTGTAAAATAAAAACCTGCTAGGGGTGCACACTAGGATCAGTTGGTGTTTCTTTGTAAATTTTCTTTTGTCCATAGTAAAATTTCAGACTTTAGAGTTAAGTTTTTAAACCACTCCAGCTGGTGCTGAGAATCTTAAAAATTCAAAATGGTGATTAAGCACTCCAATAAGCTGGCCAAGTTGGTTGAAAGATACATGTACCTTCCCAAACACTTTGAATATTTGACTTTTTGTTGAGATGTATGATCCTATTTGGGTACTGAATTGGCGATATAGCTTGGAAGTAAATCTTGTCAGTTGCTACTTTCCAAACAGAACTAAATACTTGCAGAGATGAGTATCCACCACTCTGAAATACCAGAGAAAATAAAATTTACTTTTTGCTATAAAAAATATTTTTATTTAACGACTAAGCCACTCACTGGTAGAAGAAAAATCAACACACACTAGTCCAGTTTAGTTAACACATTTGCTTTTTTTTTTATTTTTTAGAATATAGACTACATCTGGATTAAAAAAAAAAGTTTTAAATAAACTTAAAACATATAACAACTATGGAACCCGTCATCATTCTATGTACAACACGGATAGAATGTCAGTTGGTTCCATTTCGGATACATCCACTTTCTCATGTTATTAATTTCACTGGCCGAGAGGCAAGCTTCATACAAGCTTGTGCACTGCCAGTTTACACACACTGGGGTGGGGGCGGGGTGTCGTGAAAGGGATGGGGTGGGGTGCCACAGGACTACTGTACAGTGTAACAGAAAATCATTAATTAAGTAGTACCGGTTACCAACAGTGCAGTTTGTGCGCTTATCACAATGGAATCGCTGAAGTTTCAGAGCAAGGAGGGGATTTGAAATACTTAAGACAGGGCCACTGTTACAAAAAGAAATAGTGCAAACAGGAAAACTGATGCAATCCTAGCAACGCCAGGGCCTCCACCGGCTCAACGGCAGGGCAGGAGGGAGTTTGCGCGCCCCGCCTTCCCCGGCACCCAGCTCCGGGTTGCATCCCCAAGTGTGGCAACCCAGCACCGCGCCCTGGCATGGCTCCTTCTCAGGCCCTTTTCCTCCGGAAAGAACAGAAAAGAAACCCCAGGAAAGGCACAGGCTGAATGTGGGGCGTCAGCCCAGTCCCAATCCCACCAACGTAGAAGGCAGGCCCCCTCCTGGGGGGTCCTTGAGCCCCTCTCCAGCCACCAATTTCCTCTCTGCTCCCCAAGGGGGCCTTCACCTCACACAGCCCCACCAACCCCCTGCACATACACAGCCCAACTTTGCCGTCTGCCCTTCGTGCCCCACAACCAGGAAGAAAACAGCTGTTAAGGAAAGAGAGAGGGTGAGAGATGGGGACCGAGTAGGTGCTGGGCAGCTGCGGGCGCCCCGCCTCAGTGGCCCCAATTGCCGAAGCCGATCTCCTGCTTATATCTGTTGGTGAGGATGTTGGCTTTGCGGGTGAGTTTGGAAAGAACAGTGTGCAGACCGCGCAGGTGGTAGTGGAACTGCTGCTCCAGGTCTTCCTCACCGGCGTCCGCGCTCTCCAAGTGGCTCAGGTCCACCAGGATGTCCTTGGACTTCCAGGCGGTGCTCTCCTCGCTCCCTGACTGCGAGGGCGGCGGCTGGTGCAGGACTCCCCACTCGATGTCGTTGCGGATGGACTTGAGCAGCACATAGTGGCTGTACATGTCCCGGGAGGGCGCGAAAAAGCTGCCGTTGGCGCTGCCCGGGCTGGGGGTCGGGGTCGTGCGCTCCTCCAGGCAGCTGCCACTGCCGCCTACCTCCACGCCGACGTCGTTGTCTAGCCCGGACTCCGCCAGGGGCACGTCGCGCAGCAGGCTGGGCACCATCACCGTCTGGTCCATGTTGTTCACGGCACCGATGAAGCGGTTCATGGCGTTGAAGAGCGAGTGCTTCTGGTTATAGGTGTCGCAGATTTGCATCATGGTGGCAGCGCGGGAGTCGAAATGCAAGGGTACAGGGATGGCCGGCCCGGGCAAGGGGGGCGCCCGCCTTCAAGCACTCTCTGAGGCCCTCGCAGGGAGAACAGCTATAGCTAGCGAGGCGGGATTCCCACCTCCTCCTCCGCCCTCTCCAACTCTCGTCTTTCTCGCAGCCCGGCCCTGCTTGATGCGCGTTTTCTCCTAGCTTTGGCGTCCGGAAGCTCTCGATGGCGGTGGGTGGTCGATGGGTCGAGCCTTGCCTGATTGGGAGACAGGGACGAAAGAACAGGAAGATTATTCACCCTGTTAGCGCGCTCAGAGCCCCTGCCCGCGCGCTCCTCCCTCTCTGGCAACTGCTAGCCCGGGACGGCGCCAGGGTGGCTCCCTGCGACCAGATGGTCCCACCTCTTCACCTGCTAGTTGAGGGTCACGGAGAGAAAGGATCTACCCCTCTCCCCAGCTTCTCCCTCCGAAAAACCTGAGCTCAAGCATCCACGCTGGCCGGCGCAGCGATGGGGCGAGGGCACCCACCCACCTTCTCTTGTGCCTCGAGATCCCCCGCTCCTTAGCAGCTCAGTGTTTTTTCTGCGGGCAGCTGCTGGCCAAGGGCGCTGCTTCGGTCAGTGGCAGATGCGTCAGCCCCCTACCCATCCCAGGTGCCCAATTTATAGTCCAGGAAAGGTGTCGGCGTCGTCCTGTGCCACCCCCGGTGTCTCCTCCTCTTGCCTCCCCCAGCAGCGCCCAGATAAAAGGCCCCAGCCTAGATGACCGCGAGTAACACTCGCCCGGCCCTTTCTACAGTGGGGGCGGGGCGCGCCTGGCCAGCTCCGCCTCTCGCCTGATACCCCAGCTGAGGGAGGGCGCCCGGGCAGGGCAGGGCAAGGCAAGGCAGGGCCAAGGGGGATGGAGCAGCGGCGCCCCGCCAACACCAAGCCCAGGGCAAGCCGGCTGGGGGAGGGCCAGGCACAGCACCGAAAGCGCCCGTGTCACGACCGTCGGGAGGCCGGGCTGGTGCGCCGGTGCTGGGCGGGCCTGGCGCGCGCTTGCCGGGTGGGATGACCGGAATGCACGTGTCCGGGTTGCAAAGTGAGCCCTCAACCCCAAATCTGGAGTGATGGCAGCCTGGAAACTGATGCCTCAGTTTATTATTAGCCACCGGGGAAGTGGGACCCGCAGCTGCCCCAACTACATCCTGGGACTCTTATGTAAGAAGGGTGGCTGGACATGCCTGGTGCACGTGGACGAGCAGTGCTCCCGCCATGGTCAGCTGCTGGGGGAGGGGAGGTCAGAGGCTTTTGCCTCTCCTGGCAGGGTCTTTCCCAATCTTTCCTACAACAACTGCTGCCAGGAATGAAGAGCAGTCTACTTTTTTCGAGAGTAGAACATGGCAATGGAGAGAAATGATGTTGGAAAGACCATCGGGGCCCATGTAACCTTTTGGCTGCCCAAAGCTAGTTAGGCCTGGTGTTGGATGTCTCTGATTTAACCGAAAAGTGGAGATGTGACCAATAATTTTTTGAGAGCGTGTGTGTAACATAGGTCTTTCAAAAGATAGTTCTTAAGCACAGGGTCACTTAACAGGGCATAAGCTATGTACCAAATCCCTGGATGTAACTTTTAAGAGCCTTGCACCTTAAGTTTCACTTTGGGGACTTCCAAACCATAACCCATTTTTGTTTTCCCATCCTACACCCTTGCCAAGTCCCTCACTCACCAGTCTTTTACAGTCCTACAGATAATCATGACTGAAGCTTCTAATTTTAAATCCCTTGCCCCTAAAATCTTGGAGGGAGGGGTCCTTAGTACAGTATTTTCCAACAGGACCCAAAGTGTCAAAAACAAGTATGTAATAGAAGGATTTCTTTATCTTCCTCTTTCTTTCACTTTAAAGACCTATACTTAAATGACTTATACATAAGTATTTTCCATGACAAACCATTTTCCTAATTGTATTCTGAATAAAAGATGACTTGGTGCAAACAGAATGAAAGTCTGGAATCCAGTCTGGGAGACCAGCCCCTTCTCAACCTAGATCATTCTAATCTGTAAAACTGAGACGTTACTTGCTTGTCGACCTATTTTGAGATCGATGGAAAGAAGCGTTATATAAAATTTAAAAAATATTAAAATAATCTCACCCTTCCTTTTTGCATACATGGAGACTTAGAAACTTTTCAGCCCGTTTCCTTGTCAATAAAACTGGAGTTTCTCCCACGGACTGTACCAAGGATTTCGGTTAAGTAGAATGGATGTAAAAATCATTATGTAAATTGAAAAGTACTTTACAAAGATTAATTGTATTTAGTATAGGACCTCATAACATAACGCTGTTTATTCCTTACAAAATGTGGAAATGGGCCATGAAGAGCCACAGATCCTCTACCCCTCCCCCTCCCGCCCCCCAGTGCTTAGGCAGCACTAAAGTATAAAATAGCTCAGGATGGTTTTAAAACCTTATGCCCAGAGACAGAAAGATCATGCGTTATAAGAGGAAAACTTGAGAAAAACAAATATCCAATTTCAGTAGTTGATCTCATAAATTAAAACGTCTTTTATTCCTCATCCCAAACCCTCTTGATATTTTAAGTTAGGAATGCGTCCGCTTGAAAACTCAGCACTCAGATTTATTAAATGCTGTGATCCTGCCCTCGTTTTCTCTTCTACCCAGTTCCAATACAGTGTGATTAGTAACTGACGAAAACGGAAAACCAAGTGCTCTAGCAAAAGGATCCCATCCCGAGAAAAAAGTCCAGCTTGAGAGAAACCCCCTAACTCCTTCCTTTTGCCCTCCACCCTTTCCTTGATCCGCTTCCTTCCTTCTGTCTGATCTGGATCTCCCAGTTTCTTGACTCCCAGCCACTGTTCTTGCACATTTCTTAAACCCTATCAGAGAAAGATGGCTCATGCACCTGCCTGAAAAACTTCCCAAACCGGGCCACCCAGCTCCCTCGGGCCCACGCAACAACTCACACCCACCGGGGTAACTCCGGAACGAAAAGGTCCTTGGGCTAGAGCTCCCGGCCCTTGGAATCACCCCACCGCCACCCCTCTGGCTTTGGCCAATCAGAACACGTCAGAGAGTGTTATGCAAATGAACCTTTGCAACCCAGCCAGTCAGAAGCCACGGACCCCTCCCCCGCCAGCGTCCTCTTTCACCCCAGCCCCGCCGCGCGGGCGGCCGCGTCCCTGGTAACCGCCCGGCAGCCACCCACCCCCGCCCCGCCTGCGAGGCTGTAAAAAAATAAAAACGGTTCCCTGGGGTAAACTGGGAGCCGAACGGGATAGACCCGGCCCTTCAGAAAGCGGACATCCTCTCTGGTTGCTCCAGATACATTCCCTATTGCGATCTGGATGTACTGGAGGTGTTGAGCAATCTTCCCAGGACTCTTCTTGCCTCCAGAAAACAGGGGAAAGTCATCCTTTGAACAAATAACTTTTGTGTACTTTTAGTAAGCCTCAAGGCAAAGGGCCTGGGTCCCTTACTTTCTAAACAAAATCCAAATCTCCACTAAAAGCCTGGTCTTAGAGCTGGGGGTGTAGCTCAGTGGTTGAATATTTGCCTAGCATGCGTGAGGTTCTGGGCTCCATCCCCAGCAGAAAAAATAAATACATAAACTTGATCTGAGGTTGTACACCAAGAACATTTCTTGGTGCATAGCTCCAATTCAGGACTTCTTAAATCCTGCTTCTTATTCCTACTCTACCTTCTTACTTCAGCAACCAAGAAATCATGTTTGACTGCCTTATCTACCAAAAAGCCCACAAATCAACCTTTCTGCTATGTCTTTTGGATAGTTTGAGAAAAGACGGCATTGCAGAGGTGACCAGAAATCCCTAATAATAATAATAATAATAAAACAAGAACAAATTGGTGGGAGAAGGCAGAGTAAAAAAATCAGAGGTCTGGCTTAGAGCTGGAGAGAAGGTGGTATTTTAAGGCTAGAAATCAGCACAACCCAAGATACTGGAGACCTTGGATTACTCTGATACAGAAGGAACCACTTCATGAAAAGTGTCCTGGAAATATGACAATCAGACTATCCTGTTAAAGACCATAGAGTCCAACCATCCACTTGTCTTGAAATTGCTCACAACATCTCCACCAAGTGGCTGCCCTGACCCGCATTCTTTTGTTTTTCATCCTCCAATATTAGTTCTACTGCTTTGGAGTTTTTCAGAAAGCCATGAAGCATTCAATCAGATGTTTGAACGTAGGTATGGCCTTCCTTGAATTCACTATTCTTCAAGTCAGTTATCCTGGGTTCATGTAACAATTCTTCACATTCTCCTTGGAGATGTTCATCTGCCTCAGTGCCTGTCTTTGGAAGTAGCTCCACTTTGCTTGTGAATATAGCATTTAGAACTCATTCCAAGTGCCAACTTTTCTGGGACAAAATGGAGTGGCCAAGCCATCTGTTTTATTAGTGAATGGTAACTTTTCTAGGTTGTGTTTATTGAGCACAAGTACTTAGACATGGTAAGTCATTTTAACTTCACAACAACCCTGAGAAGACAGTAAGGGTCAAAATGTTGAAGAATCAAAGAAGTAGAATTGGAGCTTGACCCAATTTTCTGATACCAGATCCAATGTTCTTTCCACTACCCAACAAATAACTATTTCTTACACTGCTGCCTAATATTTGACCAGTTTTAACAGGTACATCGTATGTTGTTATCCACATAGCAAAATTTTGTGCATCCTATTCTTCAGCAGTAGAAATCTTTTTGGACGAATATACAGAACTTTGTATTATCCATTTAAATTTGATCTCATTATATCTGGCCTATTACTGCAGCCTGTTTTCATATTTTGGGTTGTGATTCTGAGCTTTAAGACACTTAGACATTACCTATACATTTGATAAGTATTTTACATATTCATCCAGTTTTGATAATAGGTACCACCAGTGGGCAAAGGGCAAAAGCTGGAGATCAGAGAGTTCCTTCAGCCTGATATCAGTCCATTTATTAGCACCTTCTGGCATATATTGTTTCAGCCAGCTAGGAATCATGATAATTGAACACTCATCCAGTCTGGATTTTTCTTCTTGAGCACAGAACATTATAAGCGACCTTACTAAAGTCCCAAGTTAATGGACAGTTTTCTTCTTAAGGAGTCAAGAAGGAGGATGTTTTTGTCATGTGTGAGAAATCATTGTCACATGATACCCCCCAAAAAGAAGAAATAGCAACACAATATTCTGTGTGTGTGTGGGGGGGGGATGAAATTCATTGCTATTGTCCTTATAGTTGAGAGAAGATAAATAGGATGATGCTTAAACCCAGGAACATTCAGTAGTGAATCTACCAGCTTCAAAAACTTCCTACCTTCAGATACTGGAATGTCTGAATATGTTGGAGTTGGCATTTTGTCACAATTGTGTGTGTGTGTGTGTGTTTAACCTTCCTTAATGACACATTCAATTTGAGGATGGCAGATAGGAAAGGGCATGCCTCATTTCAGGCTTTCTTACCATCCAAGAACTTTTTAATTTGGTTGTTCCTGGATTTATTAGAATGCCAGGACCTTCTTGTATCATCACCTTCATAGGAATAATGAGAATGTTCCTCCTTTACTCTATCCTGTTTAAATGTGTCAATTTAGTTAGCTTAACTTGTGAAATTAAATTCAGCATTTATAAGATATAACACTGAGTTAACGTAAGGAGAAAAGATATAATTATTGATCCTTCATAAGTTCAAATCCTACCCTCCCACACATATATGCATTTTGGTGTGGCTTCAATGTCATAAATAAAATAT